GTTGACAATAATCGTATCGCATTTTACCCGTGTGACAATAATGCGAACTGGAGTATGAATGGATGACGATAACGATTGGTGGTAGACAATAATGATAATAATGTTTTTGTACGCGTTTTTTTCGTGGCGATCAGCCATACACGCCGCTACGGAAGTTTCGTCAAAAACCAGAACGGTTAATTTCGTTGCGAAACACGGTGGTTTTTTTTGTTTTTGTTTTTTCGCGTGTGTTTTCGTTTTGACCGATTTAGACATCGCGCGGGGAAATTATCGCGCACGCTGCGTTTATTATTACAAAATCGAAATCGGAGTTCCACACAAAATTACCGCAAATCGCGCGCAGCGTACGCACGGCGCGTTCGTCTGTCAGAGGCATTTGTCCCGCGAGCGATTAAAACGGTTTATAATGCGTTTCGTTGTGAACCGCAGGCTGCAACTCCCAGCGGCCCGGCACGACGATATTCCGACGGGACCCCGGGAAATAACAGAAACTGAAAACCGACTACTATCGACGTTTGATAATGTAATAAATGTTATCGCCGTCCTCCGACGGTTAATGGGGTGGGGGAAATAAAAACCACGACCGTATCTTTAATCCATCCCGGAAAAAACCAAACACCCATCACGGGTTCGGGTTAAAAATAGTCTAATAATAGGACGGGGCAGCGACACGGCGGCGGTGCGTAGCTAATGCGGCCGAGGTAACCTCGAGCCGTAATGTTAATTGTGGAGCATTGCGTGGGTGAAGGCGATTTTCACATAGAGGGCTATTGTATCTGAAATTAACGCAAACCTTTTTTCCCCATTTATATAACCAAATACACGTGTACTCAGCACTTACTGTCCCAGTGAGTTCCGCTACACGCGAGCAGATCGTTTTCGGTAGTGCCGACGTATGGGAAACACGGCATGGAAATCCTACGACCGACGATTGATTTGCAAATCTATCGTTACTGCATACTAATAGGCACTTGGCCAATGTTATTGATTCAGAAGATGTTCTGAATGTATTTGCCGAAAAAAAAAAAATAGGCATTTAAACTTGATATTTCAACAATTTCCTATTTAAAACGTTCTTTCATTTCATGTTTAACTCGGATATAATAATAACACCTAATATTATTTATTTGTATTAAATAGTAAAATGTGCCGTTTTAATCTTCTTTATTGTTTGTTCCATACGTTTTTTTTTTCTAGTTACATTCTAAGAATATAATATGTTGTGTACCTGAATTCTGAATCCTGAAACCTTTCTCTGCCCCCCTCATATAAATTCATAACGCTACTTCAAGCATCTAAGCATTTATTTTTATTTGCATTGAATTATTTAGAATCCAAATATATTTATCTATATTATGTAAATGGCATAGCCGCAAGCCTACATTTGTGTATTATTTTACTGATTGTAATTAAATACAATACTAATAAGTTAAAAGTTCTTGAGATGGTTGCACTCCCAAAAAATCCCTATAAATAACTCCATGTTTTTTTTTAAGGCAGTGGCAACTCACGAGAAGGTACGTATATTACCTATGTATGTACCCATGTAAACAATTTTGTTAGGGCTATAGCCCCCACACAGAAAACCATCACGTTACGCCTATGCATATCGTGCTGATATATTTTTCGAAATCAAAAGAGAAATATGAAGAGTGTGATACCTAACGGACAATAAAAAAAAAAAATAAATAAATAAATAAAATAAACATTTCGCTCGGCCTCCAGACAAACCGATCTTCGATTGCGTGGCTTTTATGACGAAAATCAACCGGACTCTACGTGCACGGGCGCCCGGAAAGTTGGGGACAATACGGAGCGTCCATCCCCTCCTCCTAGACTGCGAAATTTCAAACATAATTTTAACAATTAATTAATACAATTTCATTTTAGGTACTGTTCGGCGTTTGGTTTTACCATGGCCCTCCCCGATACGTTTCCCGCGGGCGCCTATAATACGCGTGTTTTCAAAGGTCGCGTAGGAGGCTGAAACACCATAGTTCCCCCCCTCCGCTGGCTCATCGCGGCCGTTTGCGTACGGCCCAACGGCATATCCGATCATATTGGTATTACACGACAGTTACGACTGTTGTTATATTTAAATCAATAACGGCCCGAGTCGCGGCGGTCACGTCCGTCACAACGTTGCCACAGCTGTTATTCTCTGATATTATCGCCTATTTAAACATTTTTATTATTTTTCCTATTATTAAAATAATATAATAGTCTGTTATTATGTTTATCGGCGATGTATTTTAACGTCCATTGTCGTGACATTATTGCACTGCTGTACGTTACTGTCCGGCGATAAGCGTCGCATTTAAAATTAAACGCTCGCGTTGCGTAACGAAACGTTTAACCTTTTACGAGAGCGTTCGCGTCCGAACCAGTGCCCGAACACTAAAACCGGACCACCGAACCGGTTCAAATTCGAAATCCGGGTAATCCTGATTGCAATAGATTCACGAATTTAATTCATTTAAAATGTTCTAATCGAGTAATTAAATTCTAGACGAAACGGAGAAAACAAATCGTCACGTATTATTACGGAGAAATGTCCTCTCCTGATCCAGAACACCAGATTTATATTTCGATCGAAATTTATTTGTATTCGAAATTCTGATTGATGGATAAAATCCGGATCCGTTAATTACGAACAATACTAGTTTAACCGGTACTCGAAATCGTAACTAATCAAACAGTAATTTCGCCTATCGTAAAACCGACGACTATTCTTTTTAACAGTTTTCAATTGTATTCGTATAGTCGTGTGCTCGAGACGTAAATTAAAGGTGATATCACGACTATAACTAATGATGAGTATCATCGTCGTATTTTGCAAAATAAATTTGAAACTGAAATATTGTTTCCTCGTAGCCACAGGACGTTATAATTTCGATCTTTGAGCTTCAGAAATATATGCTCGAAAAGGATGAACGCATGGGGAGGGGGGGGTGAAAGACACGTAAGTAAAATAAATAGAAAAAAAAGCCGATACTTTTGGTGGGTGTAAGTAGAAAGTTCGGAAGGTCAAAAATAAAACGCTTATTACCATATTCCAATATTTTTTCCTAGTTCTTCTCAATTGTTAAGGAAAATAAAGAAACGACCTCCTCAGAACTCAAAAATGCCGCGAAAAGTTGTTTTGTCGTTGTTTTATTGGAGCAAAAATGTTAGTAAAAATATTGTTCACAGAATCATAAAAAAAAAAATACATAAAAATTCTCACATATCACTAATTCAATTTTCACTAAGCTCAGAAAATCTAAAAAAAAAACAATTATACTTTTATAAATATGCCGCGATTAAGTAGCTGAATGTATTGAATAGCCTATGCAAATTTGGAACGAAAGTTTATTACGAAAAAAATAAACGTCTAAACTTCAAGTTTCATCAAAATTTTATTCATTTCACTCGAATAAAATTAATTTTCCGATACCAAACGGCTATCACCCGGGAATTTTTTTTTTTTCTTCTGCGTATTTTACAAAAAAAAAAAAGTGGCTCATTTCCGTCATGTCGCGTTTAAGTGAAAACGATTATAATATTGTATTATCAGTTCTCATCAGTTCCGTGTAACTTATTCGACGTGATTACGTTGATTCGACGTAGAGTTTACGACTTTTCTTCGGATTGAGGTTACCGGCCGTGATTCTGGGTGAATCGAGAAAAGTATTGGTTTACAATGGTATGTGTTATTTAAATATTTCAAATTTCTCGATCCAATCAAAAACTATATAATAACTTCTCGTGGCGTTTTAGATCTATAGTTGGTGCAGTGGGAGGCTATTTTCTGATTTTCCTTGTAGTTTTTTTTAGTAAACAAGAGAAACTGGCGATTTCTTGTATAATTTTTTGATTTTTAGGTTACCTTAACAAAAAGGAAAAAACTCCAAATGACTCCAAATGCATTGGCAGTAATGGTCTTTTTGTTTTGTTTTATAATTTTCATCACCAGTTTTATGATCGGGTGAGTCCAGAGGAGGTTCCTCCGGATCGCTGCTTACAGACTTGAGATCTTTCGCCCCCACACGACTACTGATCGCAGGAATCAGGTGAATCTCCAGTTCCCGTCCAAACTTTTATCCAACCAGATTGACTCGTCTACCTCACTTAGCGAAATAAGCTTCCGTGTTCCATCACGTCGCACTCGTTCTTTTATTCCCATTGCCATTTCTCTTTTACCTTCTAATTTCTTTCGCTATGTCCCTATGGATCACCCCCCCCGTTCTGCTAACGCCGACGAATTTATCTTTACTGTAAATTCGATCTGTTCTTATTTATCAATTATGATAACATATATTCTATTGTTAATTTATATGTTACTTTATAATTGGACTTGATTTGAAAATAAAAATAGAATAATATTTTTGAATAAAAAAACAAAAAAACAAGAGGATGTAAACATTTTTTCGGAAACCGAGGTACGTAAAATAACAACAATACAGTACACTAATAATAATATTGTTGTACAAAAAAAAAAAAAAACCCGTCCGTACTCTCCGGTCCTGGTTTTATTCAACTCGCGTGGGTGGTCGGGGAAAATCGAAAAATATTTCGTTCTTTCGTTGCTTTCGTTTCCGAGAGAGGATCAGAATAATACGTTATACGTTATAACCAGTGAAATAAATTATTATTACACCAAACACCGCGGTATAACACGTACATACCCGCTATACGGTTACCGGGTGACGGGCCGTGGTCGTCGTCGACGTCCGCGGCCCAAACCCTCGTTCGGTTACCAGTCGCCGTCGGCGGCGGCGGCGGCGGCGGCAGACGAGACCTGGCCGCCCGGACCACGTGCGCTTCGGAAGGCGTAAGGCGTATTAATATTATATTATTGTGTAGGAACGGAGTGGAACCGCTTAAAAACGGATCGCAGTCGCCGCCGCCACCGCCGCGCGCCGCCCGATCGCTGCGGCGCACCGGGGCTGAGCGCGGTGGGGGTCAACGCCGCCGCGGTCGCAACCGGTGTGGCGTCGGTTCGCGCGCGCCAGTCGTTGTGTTACGCGCGCGCGTTCGTCTGTACGCACCGGTGTTCCCGTTTGTCGCGGTTTTCGTTATTTTTTGTTATTTCCGTGTCTCTGTTTACGCGGTTCGCACGCGCGGCCGTTTTTTTTTTCCCGCGCAGCCACCCCGCCGCCGAAGCCCGGCGAGTGCGATTCTCGTTTTTCGTCGACCCGACGTCGCCGTTCCTGCGCCGCCATCATGATCGGCGTGTTCAGCCACGTTGTCAGCAAGTCCCGGCTCACCCGGATCAAACTGGTCACCATCGACAACTCGGCGTTCCGCGTCCACTACCGGTTCACGTTCGCCATACTGCTGGCGTGCACCACGCTGGTGTGCAGCCGACAGTACATCGGCGAACACATCCAGTGCATCGCGACCGGCGTGAACAACAAGGTAGTAAACACGTTCTGTTTCTTCACCACCACGTACACGTTACCGGACGCCAACAACACGGCCCATCCCGGCGTCGGCCCGGTCCAGTGGGACTCCAAGCCCATCCAGCACGCGTACTACCAATGGGTGCCGTTCGTGTTGTTCTTCCAGGCCATCATGTTCTACCTGCCGCATCTCCTGTGGCGCACGTACGAAGCGGGCACGATCGCGCTGTTGGTCAACGGCCTGCAGCGGCTCTATCTCAAGACGGACGACGAAAAGGACTTGGTGGTCGGGACCACGCGGATCACTTCCGAGGCGACCAGGTGGGCGAAAATCCGCAACGTGATGAACCATCTGGACACGGTCACCCGGTTCCGGTTGAACCGCAACTGGGCCGTGGTGCTGGTCGGGTGCGAGGTGCTCAACCTGGTCAACGTGTTGGTGCAGCTCAAGCTCATGGACAAGTTCCTCGGCGGCCAGTTCTACTCGTACGGTCTGCAGCTGTTTGACGACGTCAGCAGCCCGCTAGACCGCGTTTTCCCGAAAATGACCAAGTGCGACTTCCACAAGTTCGGTCCGTCCGGCACCATACAGACCCACGACGCGCTGTGCGTGATGGGCCTGAACATCATCAACGAGAAGATCTACGCCGTGTTATGGTTCTGGTTCATAGTCGTCTTGTTGCCCGTCAGCGTGGCCGCCCTGCTGTGGCGCGTCATCCAGTTCGCCATGCACTCGCGCGAGTCCTTCAACCGGCTACTGCTCCGCGAGGCGTCGCCCGGTTCCCGGATCGATCACGTCGACCTGGCCATCATCGCCCGGCAGACCACGTACTCGGACTGGCTGTTCATGTACTACCTGTCCGGCAACATGGACGGCGCCGTGTTCCGCGATCTGTTGCACAGTTTCGCTACCGGACTCCGGAAGGAACCGGGGTCGCAGGCGAGCGACGACGATCTATTGCCGCTTGACAAAAATTCCCTCTGAGAACTCGCCGGCAGCAACAGCAGCAGCAGCAGCAGCAGCAGAACAGTTCAACGCCAACCACCCACACCCCCCCCCCCCNCCCCCCCCGGGCCACTGCAGTGCGATCCGAAGGACCACAGTTGCAAAGGCCTTCTCCCCCGGGATTCCGCTGTCCCAAACGACTATACTTATGCTTAAACAATAAGTTACATATTATTATTATATTTCTGCAGTTCGCCCCTATAATATCTGTACATATTATTATTATTATTATTATTATTATTATTATTATTATTATTTTATTATTTTATTATTTTTATTATATTAGATTTTTATTATTCTTAAGGCGAACGAACAGGCGCGCGACTACGCGCCCGCGGCCCTCCCCTAAATTTTAACCGCTCCGCGCCGCGAGTAATCCTAAGTAGTAAAACAAAACAAAACGAAAAAAAAACAAATAAAAAATAGTTTGTATCATATATGCACTGCCCGGCGAAAAAGATAACGGAAAATAATAAAAAAAAAAAAAAAAAAACAACGTCTTAAAAAAATATCATACGCCGCGCCGTGTACTGTTCCGCCGAATCGCGTGTTATTATCGGGTTTTTTTTTTTTTTTCGTTTTTCGATCCCTATAAAAAAAACAAAACGTCGCACACGCCGTCGACGTGAAACACAACGACAAACAATAATCGGTCGCGTACGAAATCGAACGAAATCTCTCGGGTTTTTTTTTTCTCCCCCCCCGAAACGGATTTACGTTGTGTAATAACGTCCTCGCGACGATCGGACGGGACGCGTTCCGTTATCATTACGACACGGGTCGGGTACTTGACGCACGCGGACGGGCCGACGTGCCGGGTTTGTACGGCTCGTTTTTTTTTTATTAAATTTTATTGCTCGCGCGAAAATTTTACGTCGCCGTTCCGTCTCGCGTCGCACGTTCTGTTTTCGCGATAAACGAAACGGTCGGCGGGACTCGTCGACTTCGTACCGTCAACGACGCGCGTATGTACACACACACGCGCGCGCGCGCGCATATATAAACACATATATTTTTATTATTATTATTATTATTATTTTTTTTTTTTATATAACACTAAAACTCTGTATCTCTCATTATTTGATTTACGATTTGATTTGATCCGTAATATATTATATTATTTACACGAAACGCGTTGTTGTGATTTGTTGATTCGACGAGCGCCGCCGGTATTGTTTGCGTTTCGAAAAACGGTGTAACAACAACGCCGACCGGCGACCGGCGCGGCGCGGCGGAGACACAACGAAACGGGGCACGCGTTTACCGGACGGACGGTCGTCGGCTCCGCGTTTGCCGGACGACGAAATGACGGCACGCGCATGCGACGACCGGTGTCCGGAACGCGCGGTTTTTCTTATTTCTCGTCTTCTATTGTCGCACCGCAACGCGGCGAACAACACGGTGGTCGCCCGGCATCCGTACGATTATCTCGTTTCGTTTCGTTTCGTTCCGTCCGTTTTTCACGCCGTTCGCGCGCCGTCGCGGGTCTCGCGGCGCGACGCCAGTGACGGCGATAATCGCTGTCGTCATTCCGGACGGCGATAAAGACGGTGGGGGGGGGGGCGATCCGGAAACACTCGTCCGCGGCGATTACTTTTCGGTTCGGTTCGGTTCGGCCGCGGACGATGCGATTGTACGCGGGGCGGCTGCGGTGGTGCGATCGGGGATACGCTCTGATCACATGTCCGCCGACGTACAACGGCAATGATAATCACGGGTACGCTTGCGGCCGAATAAACAATACGGACCCGAGTGTGAAACGTTACTATTATTGTTATTATTTCGTGGCGCACGCTCACGTTTTCGTGACGGGGTACCGAGCGGGGAGGAGCGGGCAAGAGACGGTTGTAGAACGGTGGAAAAAAAAAAAGAAAACGATTGCGCATCGTCCGCGGCGCGCTCGCGAGTCGATTTTACGAAACCGCGGCGAGAACGCCGCCGTTATTAAGGATAAGACTCTGTCGAAAATATCCGCCTCTCCGACGCAACGACCAACACCAATCGGTCGAAAATTCCAAAAAAAAAAAAGAGAGTTTTTGTTGGTTAACGGACGATTTTTTTTTTTTTTCGGTCCCGGCGAAGAAAAATGGCCCGGAGACAATAAATTATTGTTTTAGTGTTCATATTCGAACGAATTACGTTCGAAATCTCGCTACACGACATTATGACACGGTTGCTTCGAACGGCCAAAAACGGTCAAACCTAAATGCAGACGCTCAACGACCTCAAGTCATTGGACTACGATTCGACTTGTGCATTTTTTGTCATACACAAAGTACTACATCATATTATTGTAGTGACTTAAGAAATTTTAATTTCCAGTACGACACGTGTGTAAGAATGTACAAAAATATACGTATGCCATTTAGACCGAAAAATAAAGGTGACAAATTATATTGATTATATTAATACGAAATTGTAAAAAATATTCCGAAAATTGACTTCAGCGCTTAAGCGTGTTGTTCAACCGTTTAAATCTTCCTGCTGGCACCAGAGATACAGAAAAATACCGGACATACTTCGCATACATAAGTTTCGAAGGTACACCCGTGTATATATATATATTGGCTGTATATAGGGTGTATTTTAGTTTTGTATTACCTAAACCGAAAAACGATTCTGAGTGGAGCTCGGTAAATTGTTATTGGTAAGTATAGTAGCAGTATACAGGTCGCGCTTTTTTCAAGATTAACCACGGAATCAATAAAAATAAAAAACCGAAGTGTCGTCACATAGTTTATCGGGTTTTCTTTAAATTTCTGAAATGTTTAACTGTCTAATCTGAAATATATAAACAATTTTTTCCAGAGGAGAACACTGCAGGTCGAAAATTTCGCCGTTTTCAGTATACGGTGCGAACAATTTAAAACATTTATTACCATCGAAAAATAGTGTTTTCTGAGAAAATAACACGTTTTAGTAAAACCAATAGCTTTATTTTGACGAAACATGAAATCTATAAAAAAAAGAAATCGAAATTAAATTGTGAATTTAAATAATAATAAATAATTATTAATAGGGGCGGAAGAAAATTTCTAGAACTTTCTCGTGTAATCCGATTGGAATTATTTTTGTAATATGTTAATTAAGCATGAGGGGAAAATATTTTTATTTCTGCAAAGAATAATATTGCGGTCTTTTTGACGTACGGGTAAGAGGAAAAAAAATGTCATTTTGCTATGTCAGTGAGCCCAACCGCTGTCCGTGTGGCGAGCGCGTGGGGTTTTGGGGTTCAACCCCCCCCCCACTAAATATAAAGTATCTAGCCAATAATTTTGGTATTATTAATTGACAGCGGTACAAATATCATAGTTATTCAACTCTCTCGAAAAAAATGTTCTGGCTTCACTCTCCTCTAAAATTAACAGCGTCGCTAAAATTCGATGAGATATAAATAATAACCAGAGAAACCTAAACAGTTCTTGCGTGTTAACAATTTCTAGTTAAGTGTAATGTGGTTTTCAAAATATTAATTTACATTAGAAATTGTCTGTTTTTTTTTTCTGATACAAATTTCATCGTAATACGTTCTTAAAACAACATAGAATAATAAATTTAAAAAAAAAAGGTTTTGACAAAATTCATAAAAACCCCGAACAGTTGTAAAATTAAATATATAGATAGGTAATATATCATAAGTCTCTAAAGCCTGGCTAACACAATGATAGTAATCACTGCCGCGACAGTTGGGAAATCGGCCCAGTAACTATTTCATTATCATCATGCGTCTACATGATAATTGATAGTAAGTATTACGAGACTGTGAGAGTGTTAGTAAATAAAATCGCCATTGGAAAACACATAACATCGTTTTATTTTACTGTCACGTAGCACATTCATAGACGTTTCATTCATATCGGAATTCATTATATTAAGTGTCGTGTATATTTTACTGTATCACTCTACATACTACTTATCTACCAAAAATTTTACTCCAATTCTCAATTTTAGGAGTGATTCTTGGAAACAAATTCTTTTTTCTTTTTTTCCGAAAAAACAACATTTTTTATTTTTTATTTTCCTTATAATTTTCTAGGAAAACCGGGAAAGTTTACGAAAATAACATTAGAGCTAATTTATATTTATAGGCATTTGACATTTTTGAGTTTTTTTGGTTTTTATTTGGCAAGTATTGTGTGAATACATTTGTTCGATCAAATAGAAATGCTTGAAAGTTTAACACGGAGTTTATTGTAAGTAATTCTGCATGGAAAAAACAATTTCATCGATGTAAATTAAATAGAAAATAAAAAAAAACCAGTAGAATTTAAAATACCTATAAATAGCTCCGAAATCGCCAGAATGTTTTGAAAATTTTATCACATAAAAAAGGAGTGGTATTAGAACATTAATTAATGTAAGTAGACTGTGGAAATTTCAGCTTTTTACGATTATTTTAATCCGAACAACAACAAACAAAATAAAACCGAAATCAAAGAGAATTTTTATTGGTCCATAAATTATCCGTATTTTCTATGTTTTTCCCGAGTATTAAGAAAATTATACAAAGAAAATGAACTCTCTACAAACAAATAAAATCTGGAACGAAAATGGACGGGGACACATTTTGCGATGTACAATTAAAATGTTTAAAATTTGTATATTTGAATTTGTTGTGATAGATTTTTCGAGAAGTCGATTTTCAATTTCCAATTTTGGAGACCTCCAAAATTACGATATTATTTTATCTGTTAAAATACAGAGATAAATTTGTACCTACTTTTAAGCATATCAAATTTTAAATCGAAAATCGACTTCCTATAAAACCTAGACAATTTGTCAGCAAATCCATAGATAATTTAAATATTAAAAGTGAAAATTTTGATATTCATGTGTCTAATTTCCTACTGCTTTGGTCTAAAACGTCATATTCATCCGCAGAGACCTATTTAAACGGAGGCCAGGGGAACTTGGGCCCCGGGCGGAAAATTGTAGAGCCGGCGAAATATGGAGACCGTTTTGATATAATAGCATTCGGCTGATAAAAAAAAAAAGTAATAATACAATTATTATTGACTATCAATAAATTATTACTAAAAACATGCATTGATAATACTAGTATCAAACCACTATAATTTTATTATACAAGTATTATAGTGGTTAGTGATATTACCGATGCCATACCCAAATGGGGGAGGGGGGGAATTCGGTTTTGCACCATTTATTGCTTCGTTTTTTTAGCTCTAGATAAGGTTTAGAAGGTTATAGAGATTCCTAAACCAATAGTTACATGATCAAATTTTGACGAAAATCATAAAAACTGAAACATTCCAACACGCGTTCAACCGAACTACGGTCAGAATGGTTTTTTTGTTTTTTATTTGTCAGCGACGGTTCATTGTTGCTTACAGGCGTAAATCAAATAGCCGCGGCACATCTAAATCATGTTTTAATACAGTGCCACGAAAACCCGCGGTACCGTCCGATTCGAGAGACCCGTGTAGTGTATTTATTACACCTCAAGCACACACAGAGCGATCGGAACATCGTATAAATAATATAATACAATAACGCGAGTTTATATAGAAAAACATTTAATACCATACCGACCCGCGGGTTAAATACTCTTAACGAACAGCAGCAGCAGCGGCAGCAGCCACGCAGCCGGCCTGCAGTTCGAGATTTAAACGAATCTCCGGTCGATCTCCGACGGGGCCGAGGGGAAGGCGAGGGGAATCGGTCCGACTTCTATACCAGTTGGCTATAATAATAATAATAATAATATTTTATTACGTATTATTATGTGTGTGCATTCGAAACTTGGTTGTCACGCGCGAGCCGTGTTCCGTTAATTGAAACGGACGACGACGACGGTCGTATAAGTATAAAAGGTAACCTTCTATGTAAAAAAAAAAATAAAAATAAAAAAAAATAATAATAACACAAAAATATTTATATATACTATAATATACAGCTGCGGTATAATACCGCGGAGGTTTAGGATTTATAAACGGGGGTCGGAAGATGCATTTATTCGATAAACGTTGTTTTTTTTTTTTTTCATTATAATGGAACTCGTTTTTTAATATATTATACCTAATACCTGTACTACGCTTTCCATCGGAGATAACGTTTAGTTTTTTCTCCCCCTTAGAGATTTGATTTTAGATTCTGTCCGGAGAGGTTTTCGTATTATAAATTATAATGCGCGTAGGTATACACGAGTCTGTGGTTTGTTTTCTTCTCGCGTCTGTCGGTTTTTTTGATCGGTTCATAGAACCGAACGCGTTACGCAGGCCCGAGTAAAAATCCCTTCAATACAACGCGTCTTAACGTTTTACACTTTTTCAAATCGGTTTTCAATCGAAAAACTACCCGCCAATGTCGAATCGTGCACCGGTATCGAACGCACACATCACGTAACGCATGCGAGTACGTAGGTGAATTACCAATTATTATCGATTGATCGTTTCTGTGACGAATTTCACAATATTGTCGAACCGATATCCGATAACGAAGATGTTGCCGTCCGAATCCTTGTGTCAGAAAATCTATCGGAATCCTTACGATTAGAATATATATTACACTGCAATCTCGAGTGTGTAACGAGGAAACTGTATACGGTTTAACATGTTGTTTTTTTTTCTCTACAGAATCTTTACGTTACCATACCCAAGGTTTTGAGGTTAGGAGATACGATTTCGTCTTCGCGAATGAATATTTTCTAGGCCTTCAAGTGAAAAAATATAAATAAAAATAAATTGAAATGTAAAAAAAATATCCGGATATCTTTGCACCATATGAATTGTACCACTGTTGTTGGCGCAGAGAAGTTTGAAAGGTGTAAGATAATATACAAGGTGATTAGGTTGAAAAATACCGAATACTGAAAACAACGATAAATCATTGCAATCAAAAAACGATTCTGTATTAGTCGTGAATTTTTTCCCCTGGTAATCAAAGTTACCTATTCAGTAATCAACAACAAAAATAATTGTTAGGAATCTAAAAAATAATTTCAAATCAAAAACCTACTACCGAGCGAAAAACCTGCATGTTTCATTTAAAATATTATGCCCTATACTATTCAGAAATTGTGTCGACGTCCATGTGTAGTGTCAGCTGTATTTTTCATCGTAAACCGATTTGCAGTTGCAAATCTAGGCACGTGCGAACCCTCCTGCGAGCCAAAAGGGCGTCCGAATAGGAGAAAATGATGGTTTTTAGGGGACGCGTATACACAATGGGAAACGCATGTGGATCGGCCATGAGGGTCGATCCTTAATTTATTCGGGCTTTTGTCGGCGGAAAAACATAATTTCACAAATCCAAAACCGTTACGGTTGGAGCACGGTATAACAGCGAACAAAAATCAAAATTAAATCAGCAACCAGATAGACAAAATATTGCCGTTTTATAGTTATAAGAATAACTTAATTTTATTTTCATACAGATTTTGCTTACTTGTCAGCGTATTTTTTTAAAATTATTTTTCCGGTTTATTTCCGATTTTAGGACTATTCCGTATGACCAGTGATTCCCAAACTTTTTTCTTCTGTGGGCCGCATTAATAAAATATTGCCTTCGTGCGGGCCACCGATGATATATATTTAATATTTCATTACTATACTAAAATAAAGGGGTGGGTATCACTGGGTCAAATGTCTACTTTTACCTATATATTATATTATAATTAGAAGGTATTTCAAATATAAAAATTGTTTCATTAAAATGCTACGAGAACTATTTATGTTTAACTAATTATCTAATTATGTCCTCTATCCATCGCCGAAATCGTTCAG